TGTGGCAGGGTTAGATGTTGGTTGGCCACAGAGCCAAGATCTGTGACTCTGAGGCACCCTCTGGCAGCTCAGACCCAAGGGGCCAGGTTGTAGCTGTGATTCCACTCCTGGGGTTAGGGCACGGCACTGGCCTGACTCCAGGGAAGAAAGGGTACTCTGGAGGTTTGGACCTGAAGAGCAGTGTACACTTGTTATTTGGTATCCTGAGCCAATAGGGTTTAGTGGCAACTCAGATTGCAGGGGATGAAAAACCAAGTAATAGTGACTATAGACCATGGGATAGCAAGGCTCAGCAATATCCTAGACTGTAAGGCCATGTGCAGTGACAGCCAAGTACTCCAGAATGGTGAAGCACAGCTTTAGGCCAGGGAAGGGGGGAGAAGAAGCAGCACAGTGATGACTTCACTCCCCAGGGAGAGGAGTACCTCAGCAGCTCAGACTTTAGGACACTAGTCCAGCAACAGGGAAGGAAGGTACTAGAGATTTCTGGCCTGTAGACCAGGATGTCTCAGCTCAGCCACTGCTGTTTCCCTGGGACTTAGGATACTACGTCAACTCAGCCCTGAAATGCCCAGTTCCTCAGCTTGGCCAGGGCACTGATTCCCAAGGGGGCAATGTGCTCCTTTAGCTTAGACCAGGGAGGAGGCATGACTGTTTTGGCACGGCCCAGGCACTGTTTCCCTGGAATACAGGGTGCCACTTCATCTTAGGCACTGGGGTACATGACTGCTTTAAGTGGCCAAGGTGCTGTTTTTCTAGGAGACAGGGTACTGCTACAGTTTCAGCCCAGGGGTAGGGAGGTTGGTAGGTGGAGTGGCTCCACTTCTGATTGGCCCTACAGGGAAGGGTGTAACAGCAGCTCATAGCTCAGCTTTGGGACATGGGCGGTTTGGTGGTGGCTTAGCCTTAGGGATGAAGGGGAGCTGTGGCCACAAGACCTGGAAGCAAGAAACATTCCAGCAATAGTTCCATTCCAAGATGGCACAGCACAGTAGCTGGGTGGCCCACAATGGGTGGGGCAACAGTGCTCTCTCTTCTCTGGGAGGATCACAGTTACGTAGACTCCAGGCAGCTCCCTCAGCTGGGCTTAGTGCCTATGAGGACTGCAGGGAACCCCAGTAGTGAGATCTGTAGGTGCCCAAGGTATTGACAGGGGTTGCTGGGATCCTCTTGCTTACCTCCTCACCATAGAGAGGAAGTTACTCCTGGTCCCAGCTGATCCCAGTGGGGGCACGGGGTGGTGGAGACCTGGTGGTTCCTTCTGTTCTTTAGGTGGCCATCTCACATTTTTCTGCTCAAGGGTGTTTTTGTTACTCCTCTGATACACTCTGGCACTCTCTCTGTTATTTTTGTTAAAATGTAGTTGTTATTAGTTGCTCTGGCTGTCTTTGTGAGAGGGACAAGCACTAGTGGCTTCTAGTTGGCTATCTTGATGACATCACTCTCCCAGACTATGTTTTTTTTTTTTTTTTTTTTATTGTTGTAGGCTGTCTCTGTGCCAAAGATCATCCTGAGGTATAAAGTCTCTTCTGAGCCTTTCCCCGGGTATGTGTGGTTGCTTTCTAATTTTCCCCATATATGCAGTTGTTTTTCAATGTACTAGTCTTCAATGTTTGGCTCCCAAAAGTGAAAAAAGAGGAACATGAAGTGGGGGAGGGCATTTGTCAATGGGGGAAGGTGTAAAAATGATGACTGCCCACTTCTTGGTCTGCACAACTAGTGATCAGAAGCAGCAATCAGAGCTATTTAGATTATGGGTTTCTTTTTGTCCACCTGGCTCCTGTAAGTCATGTGCAGATTACTCCAGTAACATGTGCACAGCTGCCAGGCAAGGGCTGGGATGTGGGAGATGGGTAACTGCTACTGTGCTCAGAGCTGAAATTAACCAAAATTAACTGCAATTTATCATCCAAATCTACCCCCTGAAGTTAGAAGCCTTCAACAGACTCCAGAGTTTCGAAATAGTTATCAGATAGATTCTGTCAATGCAATTGTTATCTAGGTGGGGAGACAGAATCGTGGTGCTTTCTCCTCTGCCATCTTTTCAGAATATGTCAAAAGACAATTTCAAAAACTGCTTCTTTGTGAAACACAAATCACCAATCAGATGGCAAGTTCCTCAAGGGCAGAGCCTGCATAACTTCTCACTTAATTTGCATTTTCCAGAGTACTCAGAATAATGGTGGGTTCACAGAAACTTCTTAAATATCACAAAAGACTAATCTATCATTTTGATTAGCTATAATTTTTTAAAGATCAGTTTTAAAATTTATATCTGGTTCCTACAATATTTCTAGCTTTTACTTTTGCCTTAGGGCAATCATGTTATCTCCTTGAAGACTTTTTCTACCACAGGGGTCTTTGTATAGAACTTTCTTAATTGGGACTGCTTGCTCTACTTTGCACTTGCATATTATAATATGGGGTCAAAAGGGGAGACATCAGAGAAAACACTTTGTGAAAAAAAATTTTAATTTAAGGAGGTCTCACCACCCTCAATTTTCTGATTCACACTCAGATTCTCTGAAACTTCATCCCTGAACAGAATACATCTCCTTATCCCACTCCTCTTGATTCATCTGTCCTATTTGTTGGAATTTACAGATTCTATGTAGCCAAAGGGCAGCAATTGAGTTTACAGGGGTTAACAAAAGATCTGATGACATTTGTAGAATTTACAGTATCCTGTCCATTGTATTCTAATTCTGCTAATTCTGGGCATTGAGATGGGAATAGACAATCTGACCGGGTAGTGTTGGGAATTTCCTTAGGGAAAAAATATTTCTTTTACTGCTAAAGGAAGGAAGGAAGAGACCCTGGAGTTAGAGGCATCTTGGCATTTGGGAGACCAACAAATAACTGGTAAATGGATGGGGACTTGGAAGTAAAATTATTTAACAGGATTTTAGCTTTCACAGATTTCAATCTATTAGTATTAGTAATCTCCTTTTGACAATAGTTTATTTCACCCTTTTGGCATGTAAAAGGTATAAATGGGAATTTAATCATATATATATGTTATGTGTATATAAATGTATATATTTATATTTTAGTTGCTTCAACATTTCACTTTGATGACCAGAATGGTTTACTATCTTTTAAAATCCAAACACACATATCCAACAAATATAAATAAAATATATATTTCAGATAGTTTTCTTAGTCTAGGGTCTCAAAATTGCATTTACTACGTTAAAAAGTATGAATATTTTTATAACTGCCAAAAGACAGAGCAACATTACAACCTCAAGTTTGAGTTAACATTTCATTTAGTCTTGAACATTATTTCTTTGGGGAAAAAGTAGATTAGCTCATTGAAAGATACTGATAATTAAGCATTTAATATATAGCAGTTAATCAGGAATTTAAATTATTTGGCCTTGAGGAAAAGTCTAGTCTGGTTAAACCCCAGGGCTATGAGGCCAGACTCTTAGGGTTTGCTTTCCCACTCAGCCACTGGCTGGCTATATGGCCTTAGGCAAGTTACTTAATCGTTCAGTGCCTCAGTTTATCCATTTGTAAAATAATAGAATCTACACAGTTCTGAAAGCTATTTGAGTTTATACCTTTAAAACATTTTAATTAGTGCCTGGCACGTAGCTAAGAGCTCAGTAAATGCTAAATGCCTATAAATTATATTTTAGCAGCTCTCCTCTAACCTAATTTAAAATTAATTTCTTTCTTTCTTTTTTTTTTTTTTTGAGACAGAGTCTCACTTTGTTACCCAGGCTAGAGTGCCATGGCGTTAGCTTAGCTCACAGCAACCTCAAACTCCTGGGCTCAAGCAATCCTGCTGCCTCAGCCTCCCAAGCAGCTGGGACTACAGGCATGCGCCACCATACCCGGCTAATTTTTTCTATATATATTAGTTTGCCAATTAATTTCCTTCTATTTATAGTAGAGTCTCGCTCTTGCTCAGGCTGGTTTTGAACTGCTGACCTCGAGCAATCAGCCTGCCCCCAGACTGCTAGGATTACAGGCGTGAGCCACCACGCCCGGCCTAAAATTAATTTCTTAATGCACAACCTCCTGGAATACCAATTTTACACGAAAATTCTGGGGAAATTCTTTTTATCAATGCAAACGTGAGTTTAATGCAAATTTTTCATTAACAAAAGACTTCAAAGAAATCACTGTCGGTTGTAACAGGACACTAGTATCCACAAACTACATGCTATGTTTGTGGAAAGGTTTGAGAAATAGGATATCACGTACCACATAACACATAGGTATATCATTTTCTAAGCAAACAGTTAAGTATTTTGAACAAATTAGCAGCCTCGCAGACCTCTTGCACTGCCACACTGAGATGCTATACTGTTTGTCTTTGGATACACACACCTCCTCACTACAGAAGTACCTCTCACTCTTGCCACCTTATTATAGTTGCCATTCCCTATGCATCCTGGCTGAGTACTAAGAATTGCAGCAAACTAGCCTGGTGGCTCCCTGCCTTCACATTTTCCCTTTATTACTATTTTTCATTAGACCGTAACAATCCTGAGGGCAGAGAAATTCTTGCAACACTTACTCATTCCCACGTGGGACTGGACTGGGCAGCTGTTTACTAAATTGAGGAAATGCCTTTCAGGAACTGCCTCGTTTGTTGTCATCAAACAGGTGAGCGGAGCTGCCAGGTTTTTTCCCAGCAATCAGCAAACTCAAGACCGAAAGCTCCCTCGCACCGCTTGCCGGGGGTGGGAGGCTGGGGCGTGGCTGGAGGACTCTCGGCGGGGAGGATGCCCCCCAGCCCGGGGACCGGTACACTGGCTCCCACGCAAGCGGCGTGGCGGGATGCTCCACACCACTTTCTCCCGCTTGATTTTCGAGCCCAACTCGCTTTTAATCTAAGCGCCGCAGCTACGGACCTCAAACTCCGCCCCCCGCCACCGCACAGAGGGCCGGAGGCGGCCCGGAGAGGACGCCTGTCCTCCGTCCCGCCACCTCCCACCCGTCGAGGCTCCCGACGCCGCGCCGCAGTCCTTCCCCGCGTGTCTCACCTGCGGCTGCGGGCAACACCCATGGCGTCCCGGCGACCAGCACCAAGGCCGTCGCGCCCAGGAGGGCGAGCATCGTCCGCGAGCCCCGCGAGTCACATCCTCAGGCACGTCTCGCGGCTCGGCGGCACAGGGAAGGGCTGCCGCGCACGCGCACGCGCACGCGCCTCCGGCATCGGCACTCGGCCCCGCCTCCTCGCGCCCCCTCCTTCCGGCTGGTGACGTCGCGGCCCGCCCGCTGCTGTTTGGAAGACGACGCCCAACCTGCGGGCTTTGGGCCGCGGCGCTCCACCGCTTCCCGTGTTCCCGTGCCGGGGTCGTGGTTGGGCGGCCCCGGGCCTCGCCCTTTCCGGCCCGGGTTGTCTGCTGACCCAGGCGCGGCAGTACACGGCGCTGGGAATCCCCGGAGCCTGAAACGGGGAGGCCGCGGAGCGAGCCAGGCCGTTTCCTGTGTGAAGAGACCCGTGAGCGGCGCCGCGGCTCGGAGCCCTCGTTCCCCCGCGACCTGGCTCCCGGGCGACAACCGCGACCGGCGTCTGTGCCGGAGGTGGGCTCCGGAGCCAGACCTTTGTCAGTAAACTGTTTGAGCTCGTCGTTCAAATGGCTATTTAAATGTACCTAAGAGATTATGTACATTACGAAAACAGGCAAAATAAACTTTAGAGGATGAGAAGTGAAATAAGCCAATACTTCTTTATTATAACGACTAAGCTATTGTGCAAATAACTCAAAATCAAAGCTGTTGGAACTTTATTTTGAGCCTTAAAGGAATGTCATTGTGGGACCTGAGTTCCATAACATACAGCTGTAATCTTGGCAGCGTTAAGTGACCTTTGATTACACAATAGCCTTTTTTCCTTATATACGTTGTTTTGCAAAACGTAAAATACTAGAAAAGTGCCAGAAAAAAGGTCCCCTCCCTCTTAAGTGTTGATTCTCATAGATTAACTTCCCTCTTATGCAAAGACTCACGGCTAATCACATTGTCTAAGATGGAATGTTAAGTATACCTTTTCTGGAAAACAAACCAAAGCACACTAATCAAATTGATTTAACTCTTAAACCAGCCTTGTATGGAAAACGTCATCCTGCTAAACTTGTTTGTTTCTGACTATACAAGTAAAACCTTATCTTTTCAGCTTTGAAGTGCTGACGCCATTTCTTTGGAGTCTGTTTCTTTGAAGGCCGAGCTCAGCTTTATGCTTGAACAAATTCTTTAAAACTGGATTCTGGTCCTTTTGATCATTTCAGGTTGACACTATTAGCAATTATACGGTAAAGTGAATATTTGTAAAGAACAAGATTGAATGTGTCTATTTAAAAAATATCTTTGAGATATAATTTATATATCATGAAATTCACCGATTTTAAGGGAACAATGAGTTTTAGTAAAGCTATCTATAATTGTTAGGCTTCATTTTTAAAACCTTGAATTATCACTTTATGACTCAACAATTTGGGGGTTTGATTCTGAGTGTGTCACTATTTTGTTTTATCGATGTCATCGCTGGAAAAATGCCCCATGAAGGTAAGTGGATCCAAATGGAAGAAGAAAATCCCTGGTTGCACTTACTAAGTCATACTCATTTTAAAAGCCCTTCTGATGACTCTGCATGTTTTTATTAAAATTTCCTTTTCCTACTGTCCAAAAGTTACTCTTGCAAACTAGTTGTAATGGGATGCATTTTTATATTTAGAATGATGAGCTCAAAATGACTGAAGCATTTCATTTGAAAGATTTTTAAACACATTGGTAATTTCCCCCCAGTTTCTTTATTGGGTAGCTAGAGTACTTAGAGATGCACACAGCATTTTTTTGGGCAAAAAAATTCAACCAAATGGAAATACTTCCAAATGTATTTAAAAACACAAGAATTTCTTTTGATTTCCTCTTTTTCACTATAAAGGCAGTTTTGAGGGATTCAGTGGTTAGGTTTGCTTTTCAATGTTTGCTACATTAACATGCTTTTGTGAGCCACTTGTTAAAGAAAAGATCAGTAAATATCTGCAAAAAATACATAATTCATCTTTAAGGTATTTGCATGGTACAAAGATTTTCATGATCTTTTCCTCATCTTAATACAACATATTGTAAAGATAGAATTGTATTTTAATAAAATTGAGTGGTATTTTAATAAAATTTACCACAGGTGTGACATCCTGTGGCAAGCACTTTGTGAACTTTCGTTTCAACTTACTTGCTATAATAATTATCTATGACTGAGACATGAATTAATTTACTGTGTGGTGCTAGCTCTGTAACTTTAACTCAGAACCTCCTTTTCCCCCTTTATTCCTGTCAAAATGATCCATCAGAGGCTATGCTTGCAGTTTTTCTATACACCATTTTTGTTTTGAAATAATTTCAAATTTATAGAAAAGTTGCAAAAATCGTAAGAGAACTCCTGCATACCCTTTGCCCAGATTCACCAAATTGTTAAAATATTGCCACATTTGCTGCACTGCCTTTTTAAATACCCATACAAACTCACACTTGAAATTTAACTCTTATTTCTTCAAATCTTCAGCCTTATTTCCTACATGTTTTCCAATAGTAATGCTGGCTAAGGAATATGTTTTAGTTTATTATCACACTGTGGCAAGAAGAGCAAGTGGAATGTAGCTTTTTGTCTTTGCTATTAAGAACCTCTGGGTCTGGTGCAGTGGCTCAGCTTGTAATCCTAGCACTTTGGGAGGCAGAGGTGGAAGGATTGCTTAAGGCCAGGAGTTCAGGACCAGCCTGAGCAACATGGCAAGACTCTGTCTCTACAAAAAAAAAAAAAAAAGAAGAAGAAGAAAGAAAGAAAAGAAAAATTAGCCAGGCGTGGTGGTGCATGCCTGTAGTCCTAGTTACTGGGGAGGCTGAGGCAGAAGGATCACTTAAGCCCAGCAGTTTGAGGCTGCAGTGAGCTATGATGATGCCACTGTACCTAAGCCCCAGCAACAGCGATGCCCTGTCTCAAAAAACAACAAAATGCTCAAAAGCAGTTTCTAAATATTGTCACCAATTGTGAAATTTTGTAAAGAACCAGAGTGAATGAGTATCATGTGACTTTAAACACTTGAAAAGAAATTGTAGAGGCTTGCCTTTTGGAAAATGTCTTCCTAAAGTGATGGCTTCATACTGTGGTGGTTAGCTAATATGTCAAGGCTCAATTTAATTTAGGGGAAGGTGGATAGTTAATGACAATGGGTATGAATGCATTTTACAAATAGTCTTTTTTTTTTTTTGAGACAGAGTCTCACTTTGTTGCCCAGGCTAGAGTGAGTGCCGTGGCGTCAGCCTGGCTCACAGCAACCTCAATCTCCGGGGCTCAGCGATCCTCCTGCCTCAGCCTCCCGAGTAGCTGGGACTACAGGCATGCGCCACCATGCCCGGCTAATTTTTTCTATATATATTAGTTGGCCAATTAATTTCTTTCTATTTATAGTAGAGACAAGGTCTCGCTCTTGCTCAGGCTGGTTTCGAACTCCTGACCTTGAGCAATCCGCCCGCCTCGGCCTCCAAAGTGCTAGGATTACAGGCGTGAGCCACCGCGCCCGGCCAACAAATAGAATTTCATTGCACCTCAGAAGACTCTTTATTCCAACATAAACCCTTAGGGAGGGTGCACCCCAGGTTAGAAACCATTGCTCTAGAACCTTTCAGAAGAATGAATTCACTCCTTTTTGGGCAGAGAGGTTGGCGGAGGAAAGTGCAGAATCACTAGCTGAGTAGCAGCCCAGAGCAACAGAGTTTTAGGGTGTATAAACACTAGCTCCAGGATGCTCAGGGAAGAATGTGAGCAGTTCTACTCTGGAATTTCCTTTCTCCTTGGTGCTGTGTTATCCTTTTCCTTTCCTCCTCCCAGTAGGCAGGCAACTAAGTAAAAAATAACAATGAAGCAAACAGTAGGGACACTCAACAAGTTTGGTGGTGAGAGGCAGGGATTGCAGCAGGTGACTGGAGTAAGAGGTGTTTAAGTGGAGATGGTGATAGGGCAGGAAGGGGGAACAGTGTTCCAAGCAAAGGGAAGAGCATATTTGAAGGTCTGTGTTCAGTGTAGCTTGAGGGCAGATTGAGACTGGGTGCATATTCAATGCATATAGGGAAAGAAAGATGTTTGTTTTTAAATGATTTTAAGATGCTTTAAATATGTCTGTTTTTAAATGATAATAAGAGGACAGCCACACCCCTTCCCAACTGGTAACTAAGTATCTCTCAAACAGACACTGGGCCTACTGGCTAAGTGTGTGAGTTCTGAAGTTGACTTGACCTGAATTAGGATCTCAGCTCCATCACTGTAGGATCTTGGGCACATTATTTAATCTTGTTTCCTTGTAGGGACCATAACAATATGTATGTCACAGTGGTGTAATGTGTAAATTAATTAATAATGTAAAGAGCTTAGCACATGGCACTCAATAAATTCTGGCTATTTTCTTCATGAGCATTGTGGCTATTGTTTTTTCTACTTCAGAAGGGCTCAGGGGGGAGGTATAGTTTAATCAGAGAAAACCTGAAGGATCATATAACTCCAGTGATCAAAACTTCATAGTCCCCAGCCTCCATTGAGCTGAAATTAAATATCTCTACCCCACCACTTCTCATTTTCAACAGATGTCCTTCCACCAAGATCCTACTTTATTGGAAAATACAAGCGATCAACAGATCAGATCTCAGCTTTCTACCACCAAAACCTCTAACCCACCTGCACTTGCATCTATTCTTTCTTTCCTTCTGTTATTGGGAAGACATCTTTGAGTTGAATAACAATCTCTCTATTGGGTTCTATATGCAACCCCTTTGTAGGGCTCGATTTCCATGGACCATTTTCCCTTCTCTCTTGACTTCATCTTCTATCTTTAGCTCCTTCTCCTCAACAGTTAAACATTCTCAAGTCTCCCAACTTAAAAGGGCATATCCTCAATTCCCTCCAGAAGCTATGCTTTCTGCTATTACTCATCACCAAATTTAGTGACATTTGTCCACAGCTATCTTTGTTTTCTCACTTCTCATTTATTCCCAAGCCCACTAAGTCTGGCTTTCTGTCCCTGTCATTGAGGTTACTCCATTGTCACCAAGATCATCAGCTACTTTCTAGTATTCAGACCTACTAGACTGTTTATACCCTTTATCTCAACTTGACTTCCCAATAGCGTTTGGTATCTATCATTCCCT